ACAAGATCTGAGTACTTCTACTTTTACTCAAGTACAAGATCTGAGTACTTCTACTTTTACTCAAGTACAAGATCTGAGTACTTCTACTTTTACTCAAGTACAAGATCTGAGTACTTCTACTTTTACTCAAGAACAAGATCTGAGTACTTCTACTTTTACTCAAGAACAAGACCTGAGTACTTCTCCCACCTCTGACAGTTCTTATCCAGAAGTGAAATGGCAGCAAACCCCCCCTTCAGATTCCCATAGCGTGCTAAAGGCTTGTACCAAAGTTCCTCTTTACAATATGTGTGTGACTAAGATCAATAAACATTCCCTCCCTCCCTCTCTCCTAAAGAGGAGGTTATGCGAAGCTTTTCGTGCCCTCCTGTTCTCTCTTTCCCTCACACAGGAAACACCTCCCCCCCGACAGGAAGCCATTTTGTCCCAGAGTGCTCCGAGCGATATCAATTGTGGAAAGAAATGTTTACTTTTGACGTTTTTATTTTAATCTCTCGCTCTCAGGCTGGTGTTCGGGGAGCTAATGCCTAAATTGCACGGGGGCCAAAGTGTCCTGGGCTGTTTCTCTCACACGCAATCAGAGAGGGCAAGAGTACACATCCTTTACTCAAGTAGAAGTACAGATACTCGTGTTTAAAAATACTCTGGTGAAAGTAGAAGTACTGACTAAAGTTCTTTACTCAAGTAAAAGTAAAGAGGCTTTGAAATGTACTTCAGTAAAAAGTACCCATAACTAGCAGCTGTTTTAAAGAGTACCTGACCTCCCTTTATATTAATAGAACAATAATGTCATTGTTAGCTAATGAATGTTTCCATGGTGACCAACGGCAACATGACAATGTTTTCATTGGTCCCTCTTCTTTAGAGAAGACCAGGAAATGATGGATACACGGATCGTGTTCAAATCAATAGGCACGCAATGACTCTAAATAATAATGATCACGCCACCAAACACACATTCAGACTAAAGGAACCAGCCTGTTTGGAAAATGAGAGAAGTAGAAAGTACAGGTATTTGTGTTCAACATGTAAGAAGTAGAAAGTACAGGTATTTGTGTTCAACATGTAAGAAGTAGAAAGTACAGGTATTTGTGTTCAACATGTAAGAAGTAGAAAGTACAGGTATTCTGAGACTGCCAAGGCACACNACGATGTCTATCTAATTATGAACTTGCTTTACTTTCACGGAACACATTTTTGGTGATAACAAATGCAACAAAGTAACATATTTACCAACACATGTTCTACGCCACTACATACTTACATTTAAATGTGTGCTGTGCTGCGTCGGTTCAGCCATTCTTCGCAAGGGTTTTTGAAATTGGTCCGTGCGCAAAGCATTGTGGGGATTTGAAGGACGCAAAGTCTAACCATGTGCAGCCTCGAAATTACCCCCAAACCAAGGACGTGGCCTCGGTGGAATTCCAAGTATGCTGGAGATTGGAACAGTCCTTCGGCGGCACTCGATGACGTAGTATCCTTGAAATATTGGCTTGGAAGCCAGTTTCCTTGCGATTGAGAAACGGCCTCTCAGTTAAAAGCAAAAGCTACAACCAAGAATGTGCTGAAAAAGAAAGAAAAATGCACTTCCTGTTAGGGCATCTGTAATGGATACTTAGCCATATGCATGCAAAAATAGAAGGACATAAGCACAAACCCTTGGCTGCAGGAGTGATGAGTTACCTGTGTGATGACGCTGTATATTCGCCATCCTCTTGAAGGCGAATGCTACAGGTGGAGGGGGTCACGTCCAGCTGATCCAGAAGGGTGTGAAGTCTCTGACCTTCAGGTCTCTGTGCTTCCCTGACATCATCAAGGCGCGCGGCCTGGACAACAAGGAGGAGCTTCCCACATACTTCTACAGAGACGACGGCAACAGGGTGTGGGAGGCGACCAAGAGGTGGGGAACTGCACTGATGTGTAGTTGGTGTGTTTAAGGGAGAGGAAACACTCAAACCATAAACAGAGCGGGGTCATTTATGATGGAGTGTAAGGGAGAAGTTGCAGCACTTCCTCTATATGTGACTGCTGCCTTGTTTCCTTTCTGGTAGTTTTGTGTCAGATGTGGTCCATATTTACTACACCAGCGATGAGACCCTGCAGGAGGATGAAGAAATCCAGGCATTCATTAAAGATGTGTGCAGCTTCGGGATGCAGGACTTCGATTACTGTGGTGGGTACACATTACACACTTCCGGTTATTTTTTTAGCATTGCAACATCATTAAAAATTCAGCAGTCTGTTTTTCCATGGAGAGACAATGCTCACTCAACCTTAAATATTGTGTAGTAGTGTAGGGAGACAGGTACGACAGGTGACAGCATTACAGACTCAGATCTGTTCTGTCACAGATGAAAGGTTTGAAGACAGGAAGCCACAGCAGTGTGATGGTGTCACTGACTGAGCTTCACTGTTGCAATGCCCTTCCTGCATTTCTCCATCACCTGCATTGTGAAAGGATCTTATACAAAGTTTGATTTTGTAAAGATTGAATCTCTCTTTGTCAATTCTGCCCGGGTACAGAGTTTCCCAAGTCCCTGAAGACCCGCGAGGACCTGTCAGAGTATCTGACCGCCATTGTGTTCACCGCTTCAGCCCAGCATGCAGCCGTAAACTTTGGACAGGTGAATAATAAATAATCATGAACCTGACATTCAATATCTTTCTGATTGAAAGCTAGTTAATTCACTGTCATTTTGAAAGACAGGCATATCATAATGTTCAACTTCTCATACAACTTGTATTTTAGTGTGTCCAGATTTGATGTAGGACAATAGAACAGTCAAGTCCATTTCCAATATCCAAATTTGCTGTCATGAATATGCTATTTGACTAATAAGACATATTAAAAAACAATAGACAGATAGATGTTTAGATATAGCTTAACATGATCCGATTTAAATTAAAGTTATATTGTGTGTAATGTATGTTAAGCGTGTGTTCTTTAGTGCCACATAGTGGGCAAAGCAAATTGAGCAAGAGTAGAAGTGTAAAGAAAATGTTCCTCAAAATACTTATTGGGTACAGTTTCTGAGTAAATGTACTGCATGCACATACTGTATCTCTGTGTACATTGTGTAGTACGACTGGTATTCCTGGATCCCCAACGCTCCGTCTACCATGAGGAGGCCCCCGCCCAACAAGAAGGGCATTACAGATGTGAATTGGATCATCCATAGCCTTCCTGATCGTGGACGCTCCAGCTGGCACCTGGGGGCTGTGTGGGCCCTCAGTCAGTACCAGGAGTGCGAGGTACTGAAGAAGCACACTCTTACACAGCTCAGTACAGACTGGGTTGTTTTAAAGGTCACCTATTATGCAAAATCCACTTTTTCCACTTCTCTGTGTTAAGAGATTCTGAAAGTTTCAGGAAAAAAGATTTGCTCACTTTTTGTCCTGATCCATTTATATAAAAACCTGTCTGAAAATGAGCTGATCAGATTTTGGCCACTTTATGATGTCATAACGATTGGCTTGCGTAACCATTAGCCAATCACCAACCAATGTAACACCCCCCCCCCCCACACACCTTATCAGCTGAATCTCCTCCTAGAGCTCCATTGTGTTCTCTTTAACCAAATATCTCTCTGAGGGGGTGGGGAGGGGCTCCTTATTTTCATCTAAAGTAACAGACAGAGAATCAGCACTTTTGAAACAGGGCTGAAACAGAGGGGATTACGGGATGCTGCAATGATCTGTTTGGTATTTCGAGGTAAACACTTCAGAGACATGTTTTGTATATATCTGATACCTATAATATATTGATGAAAAACATTATAATAGGGGACCTTTAAAGGGCCAGCCAAAACAGTTAGATACAGGCCGTTTCTCAATGTTGAGTATACCTGCTGCAGAGCCACTATTTCAAGTATACTACGTCATTGAGTGGCGCCGAAGGACTGTTTAAATGCATGTTAAATTGCCCATGCTTTCCGGCGCACTCGACTGACGTAGTCATACTTGAAATGTGGCTCTGCAGCAGGTCTACTCGACAGTTGAGACCCGGCCAGACTCTACACTTCTACTCGTCACAATTAGCCTCTCCCCCTGCAATGGGCCCTCCCTGACCCGGTCCCCTCTCTCCCTGACAGCTGTACCTGGGCTCGTATCCTGACCGAGCACTTCACAGAGCAACGCCGTGAAGAAGGCCCATGCGAGAGGTTCAGGAAAGCAGCTGGCAGCCAGATAAGCTCTCCTCAAGACCAGGAACGACGGGCAAGACAGCTGCCTTACTACAAACATGTCTCCTGACAAAATCCAAACACAGTGTCGCCGTTTGAGGCATAAACTAATGTCTCAACTTGAATAGTTTTGGCAAAAGCACATTGCAAGTTCTGATATTAACCTGAGCGTCATGAACTGCGCGTTTAGAAACTTTGTGTGACCCGAGTGAGGGATTTGATACTTCCTTGGATGTTTAAACTGCATAAATGTGCCTGACATAAAAAGTCAATGAAAACCTCAAGTTTGCTGATAAAACTGTTTTTTGTCACTTATTCTGGGTGAACTTACCAGCAATAAAATGTTTCTGGATTTAAATCATCCAGCGTTTGTTATTTCTTTCCTGCTCAATTCTCGGAATATAAACCTGGCCAGCTTTTAAACTTTTCATCTAATAATACACGGATGCCCATCAACCTCGTCTCACATATTTTCGTAACTTAAACATCCCTGTTCACCATTTAAAGTTCAGACAAAAAACCACAAAGCGTTAAAAGTAACTTAATTTTTAATTTGGTTGTTCTTTAATTCTACATACTTGTCAATAATGGGACATTAAACACTGAAAACATCAATATCTCTCTTCAAAAACATAAGTACTTTTACAAATCCTTTACAGCTTACTATTCCAACGTAACATTCACAGACAAACACTTGTGGAATGACTTCATCATAACACACGAACCAACCAAAGCCCGGGGAACCACTCATCTGTTCACAGCTCCAGTCGTAGTCAACCCACCAATGTAGCCTCTCACTGCAAGTTACACTATTCCCAGACATTCTAGAGTAAGGTACTTTTGACAGCGAAATCCTGAACCTTACACTGAGGCTGAGGACGTATCTTTCATCTCAGTCCATGTCGCTGCCAAAAGGATTCATGAACACTCACCAAGAATCCGTTCATCACCGGTTCGTAGACCGAGGCGGTCTCAAAACTCAAGGCCGGGGGCCACACTCGCGCCCCGCCCGACCTCTCTTTTTGTGGCCCGCAACGCCAGCTCTCCTGCAAGACATCACTACGTTCACTTCACCTCCCGCGCTCTACATGCCACTTTACAGAAGCAGGCTCTGCATACAACACACCTGCTCCCATGCCTCCCTCCGCTCTTCTGCGCATGCGCACTGAAGAGACTTGCCTGGACTTCTGCTTTCAGACTAGGTTAATTACAAAAACTTACAAAGGTTATTATTCCTAATCCATAAAATCCCATTCAGAGGCAATACATGTAATACTAATCACAATTATTTATATATATTCGATATATTTCATATACGTTTACAACCGGCCTTTGAGTGGCAACCATTATGCGAATGTGGCCCGCGATGAAATTGAGTTTGACCCCCTGTACAAAGAAATAAAAAGCTGGGCCGCTTGTTAAATGTTCAAGTGGCCCTCAAAACTTCCGTCTCAGACTTCATGTAAGGCGCCAGCTCTATGAGGTAGCAAAATACACAAACAAAAGAAGAAGCACAATCTACAATCTTCATCCTAATGCTTCCATCTCGGGCAAGTAAGCATACTTCCATGTTTGTTTCATGTAATACAAGGAAACTTTAAAATTTTGGCACTGCATTTGAATGCATCTATTGTCTGGCATAATTAAAATCATTCTCTCAACGCAATCCCCATTAAGGTGGAGCAACCAAGCTTTTTAATCCTTTCCTATACTGTTTTTTTAAGCTTATAGGTCGACTAACAAAGAGTGAAAGTGATGTTCGGGAAAAAAAACTGTTTGTGTCGTTGCATAAAAATCTCCCCACTACTCAATCTCTTTTTTTAATGAGAACAAATTGTACTCCTGTTTTCCTTTTTCAACACTACGAATACAACCAAAACTGAAGAAATACATCATTTTCATCACCCAGAAGGACAACTGGGACATTACCACCCACTTACATAACTATAGAATAGAATCCATCAACAAAAGGTTAGCTAATTCGAGCGCACCTTTCTTATCTGCTCTAACTTGCCCACTGAGCCCTTCGCGGGGATCGGAAGGTCAGTAGCGCCTTCCTCGTTACTAGATCTTAATCCACTTGACACACAACAACATCTCCGGCCTCGTGTTCATGTATTTAAACATTATACTTAGCACTCCAGATCTCAAGTCACTGTGGGCATAATTACACAAGTACACGTATGAATTGCTTGCAAAAAACAAGCGCAGCGTCTTCATTTAT